CTGCCTAGAAGCAGTTCAGAAACTTGGTGAAATTAAGATTTCCAAATTCAAGTTAGCTTGTCTCTTTCTAGTTTTTACACTCTTTACTTCTCATACCCGTGAGAATGGTTTGGGGGGGAAAAAAAAAGTAGCGATGTATCTCACAAATGCCGGTGCTCTGAAACATTAAATGAGTCTTAATTCTTTGGAATTTCAGGTCTAACCTGCAAAGAAATCTTTCCTAAAGAAAAAAAAGAATTAATAAATTAATGGAAGAACATGAATAATGCCTTCTTTCTAAGTGACAGAAAGGACTACCTTGAAACACTCATTTTGGCATGTACAAATTTTTTGAGGGGGGAACCTGGCAGTGTTCACAACACACATCGAAGTGCCTGCTAAGAAAAAGCTAAGGATACACCCTGCAGTTAAGAGAAGCTCTTGTCTCCAGCTTATCTTAGCATCAAGAACAGAAAGATTGTAACAGAAAGCTTTGGCCGTTTTGATTCTACTATATACATTTTAAAAACTACACAGTCATAAATTAAAGCAGTGATTAAATAAGCTCATATAAAATGTAGTTAAATTAAAAAAATCACAGCACATTAGAGAAAAATAGGAACCAGTTTCACAAAAAAGAGATTATATATATATATATATATTTTTTTTTTTTTACCCTGTGGAAACAAATTTACTACAAAACACAAAAACTTCAAAAGTAACCATCAAAACGAAAATCATTTCTTATTCCATTCTTGCATTTTTTACACAACCCTTAACCCACCTGGGGGAACATTTCCAGAAATTAAGTCTTCCTTGAGCAGCAGAGCAGTTCTGTCAAGAAAATAAACCCCAAACCAAAGTAGGGGGTGGGGTGGAGGGGGACATCCCAAACATACAAACTACAAAATAAATAAGAATTATAAAGTTTCTTTTAAAAGTAACCTTAACAATTATCAAACTAGTAAGTTCTGCCTTATCACATAGACTCTCTATACAACATAACCCTAAAACTTTATTACTATGAGGTATTTGGAGGAATTGGTAAAAGTGATGCACGGCCTGCCTGATGAAGGGACTCGGTGAACTGGGGGAACCTGGAGAGGGAACCAGGAGGAGGAGCTTTGGTTTATCAGCAAGAAATTGGGGGAAAAAAGTCATCCTTTGGTATCAAAGAAAGTTTCATTGCATGGTTGCACGGAAAAAGCACCACGGTGAATAATTATTCCTTTTTTTTTTTTTTTCATTAGTGGCCTTTCTAAGAGGCTGAGGTATTCAAAGAGTATAAGGTGAGAGAGGTCAACAGCGGTTTAACACTTTGGTTCAAGCAAGGCACTCATCCTAGGAGTTTACAAAGTTTGCAACATGTTTGCCTAGAGATTTACAAGTAGAACTAGCAGTTATACGAGTAGTATTTCCTAATGTTGTTGTTGTTGTTCGTATCATTATTATTAAGAATGAAGACAAGTTTACACACTGAGTGAAGAGTGAGGAGGGAGGAAGAGGTGGGAGAAGGAAGGGGTGAGTTCCCTCTGCAGACCAAGGCCGTGCATGAAAATATCTTTGGTATTCTTTGGTATCATCAATGTGATTAAAATCACCAATGGAGATCGAGTGAGGTAGCATCTTTGGTTCACACTATAAATAGTAGATCTTTACACCTTTTTTTTTTTACACGTGGAAGTAGCTATTTTCTTACCTTCTGCTGCTTTGTCCATACTATTTAGGAAATAGTTACCAAATGTACTGTAAAGCTAACCACACCACAATAATAACCCAGAAGGCCAATCGCATCTCAAAAGAGCTTCTGGGGTTTGAATGCACCCTAAACAACTAGATAGGAAAGGGAGAAGTGCTTTCTCTTTGTTTGCTAAATGCATAGTTTTCATCCTTTATGTACAAAGAAGGGAGGACCTTTCTTAGGGAAAATGCCTTTACAGCTCCTGTGAAATTGTCCTAGGACTCTTTGGTATAGCAAAGTTTGCATTTAACCTGCGAAGATGGGTCATTCACCTGGGGTAGCAATGGGAATGGCATGAGTCCAAAAGTAGCATCGTGCTTTATTTTTTTTTTTTCTGGAAAGTTATTTAATTAGTTTCCTTGGGCAGAGTGAGTGACATGCTCAGTTAGAACTTCTGGATCTCCCCATACATGTTCTTTGGTCTTGGGGTCATTCCAGCTGCAACCAGGGACTAGGATATTCAGTTTCTTATATCCAGAGTTCTTTTACCTGAACATTTACTGAAGTCTGGGCTTTTGGAGTGCCGAGATGTTACAGCTCCCACTCTCGCTCTTGGCCCCCTTTCAAGGGAAGCTCTGGTCATGAGAGCACCTGAATGATTTATGGCCAACAGAGTCTAACATTCCAAAGAATAAGATACCTTTCTAGGGGAATTTTGCTAAAAGATTGAGAAATGATGGGTGAACAAATAGCATGTGATCTGCTCCACTGAATGTGGTAGGTTAAGAAGACTGAGCTATAAATCAATGCTAGACTAAATAGGAATGGAAGCATTTTTTTCTCTGTGTGCCAATTCAGAAGCAATAAAGATTATCATACATGATGTAATAAGGATATTGCTTGTGAGAGGTTGAGTTTATCCATTATGATGTCTAAAAAGCAAAGGTTGTATGCTTAAACAGTCAAGTAAAAATTGCTCTGCAGGCTCTGATTTGTGCATTTGTTTATGAGAAAATATATCTCTAGGCCCTGAAATTGCATAATGGGTGCAAATTCAATGCTGGTATGAAAATTATCTTTGGTGTTAGCAAATAGGATCACTGGTTGTCTTTCAGAAAATATGGTGGGAACAGTAAATAGGTAATAATATTCTACACATTACCAAAATAATGGGTTGAAAATATAAAATGCATTGGATTACCTTGAGGAGTAATACAGTAAAAGCAAAGCAAAATATATGGTTGTTGAAATTCAACATTTGTCTTTCCTGGGGTATTGACTTAGGTAAGATTGTGTGTAGATATAGCTTGAATTTCCCTGCATTTATAACTCTCATGTTTTAAATATATAAGGCTTTTCTCCCTCCTAAACTATAAGTACTGTCCTCATGGTCCCTTCCATTCCTGGAGAGAAAAAGTGAATCAGGTTTTTTCCTTTTTGCGTCACTGACAAGGTTACATATTTTTACCAAATTCCAAGGGTGACCATTTAAATGGCCTCTTTAATAGTTGAACTATAATTGTGCCATATTTTGAAGGGAAATTGTAAGCTGGAATTTGGGATGAGATAAAAAATTACTAAAACAAAATGTGTCAAGGCAAATGCAATATTTGATCAAAGGACAAGTAGGTGTTTGATTTCCTTTTCTCATTCAGCCTGAAGGAGACACAGATGGCGCACTGGCCTAACTTCCTCTCTCCAGGTGCCTGTCTTTTCTAAACCTAGATAAAATACTGACATTTGATGTTAAAGAGTTAGGTTTTGTGTCGAGATGGTTTAGTATTTTAATGAGTCTCAATAAACAACTTATTGTTGAGATAAAATTTAATTTTATATTTCTATTTAGGTGTGGTAATTAACCAATAATTTACCTAACAGTACAAAAGGCATCCACTTATATGAGTTACAATTCAGCTGGATTCAGAGAGAGAATTTTTCTGGAAATCAAGTGATTCACTTGGGTACTAGTGTTGATAGCACAATTGCATAATTTAGCCTTGATTTCAACAGCCCTAATTGATTTGGAAAAACAAAATTTAAATTTTTGTGTTTGGAAGCTCAGGTCTAGTTTCTTTACCTGTCTGTCCCCATTAGAGAGAGGAATCTGTGTTATAAAAGTTGCAGCTTAATGCAGTAGCAAGAAAGAATATAGTCTGCTTTGGAGAATATGCTTTAGTGAAATAAACAGCTTAATGCCTATATAACCCAAAGTTTGTCTTCCATTAGAATTATGATTTTTTTTTCTATGTAGTTCCATAAATTCCACCATTTCTCAGATGCATCTGCTGTTTCTATGGATATTCATGCCATAAAACTTCTCAGATTGGTAATAAAATCAGCTTCATTACATTTTTAGTATGCTTACAGATACTGGGTAGTTCATATTAATATTAACATCATTCTGCCTACTTTATTTGTGCCTGTACAGATTTTTAAAAAGGTATTCAGTGTCAAATGCATCAAGCAAATTTAAGTCAAATTAACCTCAGCATGGAGTCCTTTACTTAGTGGTCTTTCGCTAAAAAACATTACTTTGAGCAAATTTTCCAATTTAGTTACCTGCCTTGATTAATTTAGTTTCCTAGTTTACAAATGGGGTCCTACTTCAGAAGCATACCCAGATTTTCTTAGCACTGAACAGATTATGGGATCACGACTATGTGTCTACTTAAGTGACATTTATGGATCCCAAAAGGGAGTGTGCCATCTGGATGTACATGTACTACACTGACCTTTCTGTTATGATACTAATTGCTTCCCTGAAGCTACATTCTTTCTTGCCAGTTCTGAAAACTAATATTTCAAATGCTTCAAGAGTCATAAATAATAGTCATGATTCCATGTGGCATGTGTGTTACAGCTAGATCAGTTCATATGTATAACTTTACATAGTATCTTGTGTAAAAATAGCTTTGGTTATTAAAATCATTGCAATAAAATACCTGCACTATAATATTGTGTTCTTTGGTACCTAGGTGATTTTTTTTTTTTTAATGAATGGACTCTTGTTTCGTTTCTTAAAAAATATCTGAACATTCCTTAACAAACAAAGAGAATGCACTGGTTTAGGTGTCATTCAAATTTTCTTTGCTGGGTTTGAATCTGCATTTAGGTTGCGGGCCTGGCAGGTTCAAACGCTAGGCTAGACGAGCGAGATCATACTCCTAATCCAATGAACTCAGACAACCCCACACTATGTTGGTTGCACTCTTAGGGCACAACCCTTCCTGAAGACCAGCCCTGCCCAAGTCCCTAACCACTGGTGGTGGTGTGTGTGTGTGCATGTTTCTGTGCGTGCGCGTGTGTGTACACACACACACACACACACGCACCCACACACAGTACTGAGACACTGTACACCTTCTCGGTGCAGTGGAACAGACGAGAAAGTCCAAGTTTAAAGATGTCCACTCAAATCACTATGCTTCAAACCAGTAAACAGCCAAGCACAGCGAGAATGATCATGGATTGATGGTGTGAGATCCAGTGGTGTTTTCCCACTCATAAATTTTCTTGCCAAGTTGTCGCCCCGCTGAAGTGTGTGTCTCCGAACAAAGTCAGAATGCAGGTGAGCTAAGTCTTTGGTTTCTTTGGACTATAAATAACACTTTTTTTTTCTTCAAATATTTCTAAGTATAAACCTGCTATCTTGAGGTCCTGGTCTTTAAAAATTTTTTATTTAAAGCTTTTCCACCGAGGTTTTAGTTCGTGGTTATTCCTTCATGCTTTGGTACAAGTGCTTGATGAAGAAGATGAGTTGCCTGAATTGGAGCTGCCCTCGTCCTGCCATTTGTCCAGACTCCTCCTCCTCGCATTCATGAAGAAGTTGCTGACGGTGCTCAGCTCCAACCCCAGCTGCTGGGAGATGGTGATTTGCAATTCTTTGGATGGACGCTTATTTTCCTTGAATATTGCATGGAGAGTTCGACGCTGGACATCTGTGAACACCAACCTGGGCTTTTTGGGGGTGTTGCCTCTATCCTTCCCATGTTCTTGCTCTTTCCTTTTGCACGCTGCAAAGAAGCACAGAGGATGTTAGAACAAACTACCTGGGAGAATCAGGAGAAAAGCAGAGTCAAGAAAATTTGTGAGCCATTCCTCACTTGCTCTTGGAGTCCTCTTCCCTTACTTCCCCCATCTCCCACTGAGAAGGCCTGCTTTCTCTCTGTTGACTTCTGATTTTGGCACTGTGGTGGGCTGGGAGGGAAGTGTAACAAAAGGAGGGAGAATTAGGAAGAGGTGGAGTTCCGTGACATCTGGGTGTGGGTCCTGGCTTTGACACGCATTTTGTCATCTGCAGAATGTAGAGTTAGGGCTAAACAAGCTCATTGCTTGAATTTTTATATTACCATCTGCAAAAAAGGATATAAAAATACCTATCTTGCCTGGTTGTGCTAAGGAGATATGAAATAATATATGTAGAAGTTTGTGTTAATTGAAGTGCTTTACAAATGCAAAGTCTTATCAGCTGGAAGTGGTTGTAACCCTCAAAGGCTCTGTAATCCACTGCTGGTAGAATACCAGGAGCCTAACTGAGAGTCTAGCAATGAAATAAAAAGGAATTGCATCTGCTCCCCTTCCGATCTTGTTTTATAGGAAACTGGCCATTAAGACAACTCTGCATGGAGTGTGCTACCGTGCCCATCACACCGTCTTCCACTGATGCGTTAGTGGAACCGGGACTTGTAGAAGTTTGAAAATGCTTCCTCACCATCAGGGCTACACCTGCCATGTCAGTCATGTTCACCTCTGGGGTCTCTCTCTGTGCCTCCTTCTTTAGTCTTCATCAACGCCTTGCTCTTGGAGTCCTCTTCTTCCCTTTCTCCATCTCCCACTGCAAAGGCCCATTCCCTGCTCCTGCCTTTTGCTGCTGTATCATAAAGCTGTTTCCTGGTTATTAGAGCTATGCAGGAGCATCACCTGAATAAAGAGCTCAGAATCCCAGAACTTGGGGGTCAGTGTTTCCAAATCTCAGATGTTGTACTCTTTCTGGCTTAGTGTGGCTCACTGGCTTCCACCTTGCCGATAGGCCACAAAGGGCTGCAGAGCTAATAACACTTTCTCTGCATCCCCATCTCTACCATCAATCAATCCTACAGCCATCCCCAAATAACCACAGATGGAGTAAAAGCAGTACTCTGCCTATGCCAGTGCAACTTTGAGGCAGTGTTCCTAGGCCCTGACGCCAATCAGATTGCTGCCCCATGTCCTCCCATGTAGGTGTTCTGGAGCAGCCATTGCTGTCCTCCCATCTGCCTGGCTACATTTTGACATGAGTGCCAATCACAGTGATTGGCAGATGGGCTGCCTACCTGGTGGAGGAGGGTCTACTGTTTTTTTTCTAGCTCCTGAAAACCTCCGTTTGGCTGCCTGCCTCTTGTGTTCTGCTCTCTCTCCTGCCTTGTCATATTCAGATTCTTGATTCCTTGCTAGATGGTTCACCAGCTCTGTCTTGATGCAGCCTTTGGTTCCCAGGTAGCCCTTTCTGCTTCCCTGCTCGATCCTGGACTCCAGAGTTCCCCCAAGATCTTCTGTGCTCATTAGGATAAATTAGCTCAGCAATCAGATCAACTTAAAAAAAAACGGGTGAAAGCTGAAGACACCTCCGGTCTTCGGAGTCCAATCTAGGGGTTCTCCAAATATATGTACAATATTTTGAATATATATACTCCCTGACATGATTTATTTATCAGATATGTACATGGGTTACTATAATATTGCACTATGGACATTTTAAAGTATACATAAAATATAGAAAAATTTTAAGGGTAAAATAATAATAAATACACAGAGAAATTTTCTTCTACATAAGCCTCCACTTGTCCAGGTCCTAGAGTGCATTTACCCCACTCAAGGGGCCATTCAGGCCATCAATGAATATGAGGGGAGACTTAAACCATTAAAGGCAGCTATGTAGGAAGTTGGTCTTACGATACCTTTCATAACATAGCCTGTAGGTGGCTGGTTCACCCCTAGCCCATCATGAAAGGCAGTGTCCACATAATGGGGTACATCTGTTGACTGTCCAGTTCCCTCAGATCTTTGAGCTTTATATACTGAAACAGCTGAGCTTCCCCAAACTCAATCCCTTTCCCCAGGGACCTATAGCCCTCACTGTACAACTAGGTGAAATTCCTGGAAAAGACCTGACTAGCCTGCAGTCAACTATAGGCAGCTTGAGTCAGCCCATATAGGCACAGCTTTATACAACACTGATGCACGTGGCTAATGGATTCATTTCTTCACATTCGAAAAGGAACATGCAGGCTTTGCTCTTAAAATTTTATTGTTATTCTTTTTTAATTGAGGTCACACTGGTTTACAACACTGCATATGATTCAGAGGGAGGGGATCACATCTCTTCAGAAGTCTGTCCCCATACCACACCCACACAGGCTTTGCTCTTGAGGAACTCTGATTAGTGGTCACTAATTGCAAGTATAAAAAAGAGTAGACAGAATATTGGCTGTGCTTGATGATATTGAGATAGGCTCAGAGAGGAGGGGGTGCTCACATTGGGCCCTGAGGGGTAAATAAGAGCTTGCTACCGAGAGTAGGAAACCCTATTCTCAACAGGGGAACAGTGCTGGTGAAGAATTGGGAAGTGTTATTACACTGGTATTAGAGGTACAAAAGTGAAGACAAGGAGGAAAGCTACAGACAGAGTTCTTTACAGGTAGACAGAGATCAGATTTGAATTATCCTGTAGATAAGGAGGACTGAGAGGTTTTGACAAAGGGTGTGATGTCATTAATTCTGGGTTTAGAAAAACTCCTTAAAGTGGAATTGCTGGATCATATGGAAGCTCTATCTTTAGTAGGTCCAGAAATCTCCACACAGCTCTCCATAGTGGTTGGACCAGTTTGCATTCCCACCAACAGTGCAGGAGAGTTCCTTTTTCTCCACATCCTCACCAACATTTGTTGTTGCTAGTTTTTTTAATATGCGCCATTCTCACTGGTGTAAGATGGTATCTCATGGTAGTTTTGATTTGCATTTCCCTGATTGCAAGTGATGTTGAACATATTTACCCAAATGACACAGAAACATTAATTCCAAAGGGCACCTGCATCCCTATGTTTATAGCAGCACTCTTTACAATAGCTAAGCTTTGGAAACAACCCAAAAAAAAGATGACTGGATCAAGAAGATGTGGTACATTATACACAATGGAATATTACTCAGCAATCAAAAAAGATAAACACATGCAGTTTGCAGCAACATGGATGGAGCCGGAAGGGATCATGCTCAGTGAAATAAGCCAGAAAGAAAAAGAAAAATACCAGATGGTCTCACTCATAGCAGGAATTTAGAAAACCTAAATAAGGGACCAGGAAAAAGACTAATTAATACAAAGTAAAAGTCAAAATCAACAAGCAACTATAAACCAGAGACAAACCACGGGGTGGGGGAGGGAAGGGGGGAGAAAGGTCTAGGGTCAAAATAAGAGAGGGTGCAATTGTATGGGGACTATAACCAAAATGAAAATGCACACATTGTGCAAAAATGAAAAAAGATGTAAGAATTATATAAAATAAAATATTAAAAAAAAACCACAACAGAAGAAAAAAAAAGAAAAGAAAAGAAAAGCTCCTTGGGTTGTGTTGTGGACTGGAAAGCACCAAGATTCGGGACAGGATGCTGTGGTTAATGTGAACCCCTCAGGATAAGGCACTCATTCCTTCAGCTGCTGCTGTGGCTGAAGGCACTCAGCTGAGGCCTGTTTTGGGAACTGCCCTTGGCCAAAAGTTATGCTACCCTGGAAAATGGGGTGGGGAGGCTGCCCATATCCAGTGGGGGTTGAGGGGATTACGGAATGGGGGTGTGGAGGATGGAGGTTATGCATCCAGTTGGGACAACTCTGAAGGTTCCTCCAGTGCCAGAGTACCCAAGGGACTGGGTGAGGCTATGCTTGCAACTACACCAAAATTCAGCTTCTTTATCCTCCTGATCTTATTTCCTCCACTCCCCCTACTAGAGATTATTTTCCATAGCATTCTCTGATAACCTTCTAGCAAGCAAGTCTCAGAAATTCCAGTTTCTGTTTCTCAGAATGTCTGAACTGTAATTAGGACCCCATTTTGGACAAAGGCAGTGGAAGATGAAGAGGAAGCAAATTCAAGAGCTCCTTGAAGGTAGAATCAAGAGGATTTCATGACATGGTGGCTGGGAGGGTGGAGTTCAAATATCTCTCAGGTTTCTGGGTAGATGGTGGCAATGAAACCACTAGCGAATGCAGATGGACAGAAGAGTTTTATGAGGGTAGTAATCACTTCCATGGGGGGACAAACTGCATTTGAAGAGCTTATAGGACATTCTGTTAGAGATCGCCAGTAGATGGCTGTCCAGCACATAGCAGGATATATGAGGTGGGGAGCTTAGGAGAGCGCTCTGGGCTAGAAATAAAGAGTAGGAATTCACTCCAGACCTACATGGTAAATTACATTACACAGAACACTTGAAAAGTGAATAACTGGTATAGGGTGCAGGATTAGCTTACTTGTCTCTCAAAAGGCAAAGTCAAGGGAAATCACAGAGATATCCATTTTGTGTCTAATCAGGATGGATGTTTGACTGACTTCAATTTCAGTATCTGATAGGACTGAGTGGGTAGAAGTGCCCCCAAGCTAGTATTTTCTAAATGGTCTCAGGCAAATGATAAGATCTCCAACAGGGGTTCCTTGAAAGTATAGTTTGCAGAATAGTAAGTCTGAAGAAGAAGAAACCAAGAAAAATATCCCATTTACAACTGTATTCCCCCAAAATTAAATACCTGGGAATAAACCTAACAAAGGAGGTAAAAGACCTATACAAAGAAAATCACAAAACATTGTTAAAAGAAAATAGAAGAAGACACAAAGAAATGGAAAGACATTCCCTGCTCATGGATTGAAAGAATTAACATTATCAAATAGCCTTCCTACCAAAAGCAATTTACAAATTCAATGCACTTCCAATTAAAAATCTCAAATGGCATTCATCAGAGAAATAGAACAAATGTTGAAATTCATAT